GACAGATCAGGTTATGTGTGCGCGCGTTCGCACGCACGCACGCATTAGTCTTTCTTCTTCTTCAGTCTGAGTCTGTACGATAACATTCGTGTCGCCTTTTCCCCCAGCTTGGATGGCGGGCCTTGCTCGTTCAGAGCGCTTATTACGAAATTGTGTCAGGAGGCCTTAGATGCAGGAAGGTAGTCAAGGATTCCAGTCGAAGCTGGAACAATACCGCAGAATGAGAAGTACTATTACCGGCATCGGATCCGCGGTCCTCGTCGCCGTTGATGCAACCGACGGTGCGCGGTAGATGGTTAGTTTGCAGCGTGGCCCACGCCAGTCGCCAACTTCCGCCAGTGTTGGGCCTCGGTATAAGCTCACCAATTTTATCTGCCTCCCTGAGCCGATTCGAAAACGGACTATCAAAGCATCTGGCGCTCCGCCTTGCTTTCTGCGGTTCCGGGCTTACCTGGTCCTGTGCCGCACGTCGACGTCACCAGGGATGACTGCCTTCGCCCCCCTTTTCGTTGGGCTATCGCAAATAAGTGCCCTTTCACGTTTTCGCTTTGTAAATACCGCCTTGGAAAGTGCGAATCATTGCATCTGCGGCACATTAGGGAGTATGCCACTTCAGCATTGCATTCTAGTCAATTCCGAAATCAGCTCCTGCCTTCTGTTTATATTTCAGCGGCACCGGCAGAGTCGTGCACCCTGTCGAAGCTCTAGCTGGGTGTAATTCCCTCCTCGAATACAGTGCTTCAGATAATTGCACTTCTTAAAAAAAAACTCCTTTGCAGCGGCGAGAAATTATCTGTATATGCCACGCGATGGCGGTAGACGCGTAATGATTATTATCGTCGGTATCAACAATCGGCGCGTGATTTAAGCATTCGAAGCCCAGGGCGCCTGGGACTGGTCCGGTGTTGGTGTAGAATGCACAGTTGTGCCATGAAACGCATTGGGGGCCCGCGCAAGGTGGAGAAGTGGTTCATTTAAGTTTTTAGACGTGGCTAGATCGAGACTAGATGACCCTCTGAACATGTTTGAATTTAGATCAGCAACTCACGGAGTCAATCGATGTCTTAGGGCGATGAACATGGCACAGTTGACGGACTGTCACCCAACAACCACATGAAAGCTCATGCGTCTTGAGTTTTCAAATGAGCGCTTCGCACGATGGATACTATAGGGCGTATAAGTACCATCTTATTGGCCTAAAGTGGTCAAGAAGGCGAAGTTCTTGTCTCCTGATCTTTGCTTCAAGCCGATATCAGGGGTTGAGCGCGTCTAACTGAGTCGGGGCTCCACCGCATTACTTGTCGGGCCCTGAAAACGTCCAACTCCGACTCTCTTTACCCTAACAGTGCAGGAAATTGGTTGTGCTCTGTGACCGCTTGTTATACTGCGATGTGGGCCAGACGGTCTGTGCGGAGACTTGTCCCCGAGGGACACACAGGGAAACAGGTGAATGACAGAGACTCGATCGATGAAGAGCAATTTGACGCTTAACTGTCGTCTCCGCTGGGCCGCTGCACCATCTGGCAGCCTTGGGCGCGAGATCCCCCGAAGTCGGGGCAGGGGGCTTGAGTACTCGCCCGCAATCCAGTACACGGTGGGTTCCGCAGTGCTCCGACGGCCAAGTTCATAGCCAACTGTCTCTATTAACACTCCTGGTGAAGGTAAGTTGCACGAAATTCGGACATAGATTGATGGGATTGAAAGTGCAATTTCCGGGTAACATGTTCGGATGACGTACAGACGACCAGTTTGTTTCCAGACAACATAACAGTCCGACCATCGTTGCGACCATGTGCTCAGCAACAAAGTGGGAGCAGTCGTGGTGACATGCACAGGCTTGCGCTGCATCTACCGCACTCGCACCTTGGTCCACCACCACACCATCTGGTCAACATCGAATACCCGATCAGTATTTCTACTAACAATAACAATGGAGGTGGCGGGAATCCCAGTGTGCGCGGCGTGAGCCTTCAACTGGACAACGGCTGATTTCGTCTGCGCATTCCACATGCGTACACAAGTGTTAGGATTTCACATAACAGGGGGTGGACGGTATACTTGTGCGCGAGTGCAGGTTACACCACTCACCCGCCACCAGACACCGACTGCGTGTCAGGCTCGTCAAATGTCTGATAATGGCGAAGTGTATATTTCCGAGCACAAACCCGTCGCCGTCTGTTTCGTGCATTACAAAGGACTGGGGCAGTACTTTCTGAGCATTTTTTGCAGTGCCTGTTGTACTCAGTACCCAGGCGGTAGTCATAATGAATCGGCGACACCTACCCAAGTCGCAATGCATCCCAGTTGACAGCCAACAAAGACGGTTGGGCGCTGTGACTTCAGCTGCCCTCGTCAGTCAGCAACGCTGCACAAACCAATGCAGGTGCACACATGCGAAGTGAGTCCGATTGGCAAGGAGTATCATGAAACGAGTGTCTCACCTGCGCCTCCATTTAGAACCAATCACTAGAGGTCTCACTGCGCAGGAAGTCGGTGCAGACTGATGAGAAACAGTCGGATTTGAATGCTTGTAACAGACAACTTTCTTCACAGATGTGTTTACCTAAGTCTAAACAGGCAACAGAAGTCTAAAACAAGCTCAGATGTGTAGGCTAGATAAAACAAAATCCAGATCTTTATTGGATGCGCATGCTTTTGCAAGGTTCGCAGGCACCCAATGCGCACATTGGCTTGTCGGTTCTGAAAGACACGTCACTAACGGCCTCACGTGATCAGGCTCGGGACCGATGAGGCATACGGACGTTCAGCATGTTAAGACGTACACCACGTGATATGCTCCGGGTGCC